CCCCCCTCCCCCCCCTCCTCCTCCTTCTTCTTCTCTGTAGAGTAGCAGTTCTCGGCTGTGGGCTCCAGCTTCTTTGGTAAACCTCTGTCTCAGAAGTGTTTACATTGCACTTTACAACATTATAGTCAGGAAGTAGCAATAAAATCATTTTATGGGTTGGGGTCGCAACAGCTTGAGACCTATACTAAAAAGTCGGAGTTTTGGGAAGGTTGAGAACTACTGGTCTATGGGAAAATTCCTTCCTCACGTTATGATGACCCCTCAACCATAAAATTATTTTATTGCTACTTAATGACTGTCATTTTCCTACTCTTATGAACTGTAATATACATATCTGATATGCAGGATATCTGATAGGCGACCCCAAAGGGGTCAAGACCCACAGGTCAAGAACCTATGCGTTAGATGGAGCCTTCTTTAATTTGCCCTCTGTCTTTCTTAACTCTATTTTATTTTTATTATTTTTTAACTATATAGGCAAGGGGTGTCATGTTCATGACTGCAGTGTCCACAGAGGCCAGATGAGGCCTTCAGATTCCCTGGAGCTAGAGTTACTCAGAAAAAAACCCTGGCATAGGTGTTGAGAACCAGACTCAGGTCCCCTGCAAAAAGCATTACTGGTTCTTAATCTCTGAGCCTTCTCTCCAGCTCTCTTCTGTTTCTCTGAAATTCGTAGGATTAATTCTTCTGTTGTTCAACCTTTCCTTCTTGTTTGATTCCATACTCTGAAACCTTTAAGCATGTTCTTACATGTTCTCTGAATATTTTGTAGTATTTTTTTTTTCCTGACTAGTTTTAGTTTTTTTTTTTCTTTCTTGGATTCTATGATGTGATCACATAATTTCATTGTGTATAGTATAAGGCTAAAACTCCTAGCAACAAAGCATAGCAACAAGTGGCAGGCACGGTGTCAGGAACAAGAGGCCGAGAGCTCACATCTTGTACCGTAAGCAGAAAGCAAGCTGAAAATAGGTTTAGGCTGTAAGCACTGACAACCTGCTCTCAGTGACATGCTTCCTTTAGCAAAGCTAAACCTCCTCAGACAGCACCCCCAAGGGTACCAGTCGATCAGATCCTGGAAGCTGTGTGGGGCGTATTTTCACTCAGACCACTGCACTTAGTGATAAGAGCCAGGCTCTACCTGTGTGCTGTTTCCAGCTCAGGGTCCTTTTAGCATGATCATTTTGAAGATTGAGAATGGATGTTTTTGTTCTTTACAGCAAAAAGCTTTTCCTGCCCACTCATGTTTATAACAACGGAAACTTATTTTACTGAAAATAGCATCCATTTAGCTTTATTTTTTTTGAGGCTATGGACTAAAAGAGTTCTAAGCATAGGTGAGTAACCGATGAGAGACTGTGATGTGGGCCGGAGAGTCGATGTCGCAATGAAGAAACAGGTGCTCTTGCAGAGGACTGGAGTTTGGTTTACAGTATCCACAACTACCGTTAACTCCCTATGAGATGTGAGGAAGAACTTGATATGAGCCTACATGCGCCGATCCTTCTGGTGTCAGGAATACAGATGAATGAGTAAGGTCCTGACTTGTCAAAACTAAGAGTGTGAGGGCGTGTCCTAACGCGCTTGTTCTGTAGGTGTCACTGCGGATGATCACATGATGAAAGTCGAGACTGTTCACTGTAGTGCGTGCAGCGTCTACATCCCTGCCTTCCATAGCTCCGTCCAGCAGCACCTAAAGTCTCCTGACCATGTCAAAGGGAAGCAGGTAAGTTTTTAAAAATTATCCTTTGGCCATCGTTTCATAATCCTGTGCTGTTAATCTGAAATGGGAGCAGTTGCATGTCTGCTGGGAAGCAGCTGTGTCCCAGTTGTGGTCACGGCTCCAGAACAAGTTCCTTATGGAACTTTCCCTGTCTGTGAGCTGAGACCGGCACTGTTGTTTAAGGGTTCAGTTAACTAACATGGGGTACCCACCCGGTACGACAGGGGGTGGTGATGGTGAGCATTCAGGAAATCAGAGTTTAGTTGTTTTCATTTATTTTTTTTTAATTTGCTGCAAAATGGTTTTGTGAACATGTATGCGTTAGAACAAATTGGAAAGGAAGTTTTTATTATGACTGGCCTATTTTTCTGGTAGCTGGAGAAATATATTTAAAGATTCAGCATTTATTACAACTCGTTTATTTTTCTCATGGTTTTGGAAAAAGCATTAGTGCTTATTAATTATGACGTCAGAATAGAACATCCCTGAGCACCTGCCTGCCTGTCCTCAGTGCACATTTCTGCTCTTCGTGCTGGGCTTTCCTTCAAGAGACATGAGTGCTTATATGCAGGAAATGTGTTCTTATGTAAAATGTATTTAAAGACTTAAAATTTAAATAGAAGACTTGAGTCTTAAATTTCTGTTTTATAATGAAGTGAATCCCACACACCCAAGGCTGACACACTGAGCCATGCTGTCTGCTGGTACACACGCTGTTACCCTTTCTCCTCTGTATACTTCTTGTGATAACTTAGAAACCCGGAAGAAGACTGGTTATTTTTGGATTATTTTGACAAAATTTGATAGACTTTAACCTGGGAATGCTGTTTTTACTGGCTTATGAAAGTTCATGGTCTTAATTCTTGAATGATTTAGGTTACAAGCACAGTCGCTATAGCTATTCATAGCTTAACTTTTTATAAAAAGTCATTTAAATCTAGGGACTTGAGTGTAAAATACCACTTTACATCTCTAAACTTTCCAGTGTCTCACTGTGTCCTGTTTTTCCAGGCTTATAAGGAACAAATAAAAAGAGAAAGTGTGCTGACTGCTACAAGCATCTTAAATAATCCAATCGTGAAGGCGAGGTACGAGCGCTTTGTTAAGGTAAGACTTCTGACAAAAGCGGGTTTTTTTTTCTTTCTTTTTTTTTTAAAAGATTTATTTATTTATTATGTAGACAGTGTTTTGCCTGCATGTATGCCTGCTGGCCAGAAGAGGGTACCAGATCTCATTTTAGGTGGTTGTGAGCCACTGTGTGGTTGATGGGAATTGAACTCAAGACTCCTGAAAGAGCAGCCAGTGCTCTTAACTTTTGAGCCATCTCTCCTCCAGCCCTGCAACAAAAGCTTCTTAGGAAGTGTTTTTTTGTTGTATAATTAAAATGGTGATAGAGTCATAGTGTGATACTAAAATAAGTACAGTACCACACACTGGGAAGAACTGTAAACTTACTATTTTGCTTATAGGTAGCATATTGTTTCTCCTTAATTATTGGAATCAAAGGACAGGGTAGCAGATTTTTTTTCCCTCACCATAAAGCAGTGACAGGTAAAGAAGATCAAAATGTTAGTTTTACTCACATGTGTTGTATGTGAGATTGTACATGCTTCCGGTGATGTGGATGTGGATGCCAGAGGACAACCTTGAACATGTCACCTCAGGAGCAGCCATCCACCTTGTTTTTGGGACAGGACCTGTGATTGGTCTGGGGCTTGCGTATTTCTCGAGACTGATGTTTCTACCTTCTCAACTCTGGGATAATAAGCTCGTGTTACTAGACCTGCCTTTTAAATTTGAGTTCTGAGGCTCAAACCACGGTCCCTATGTTTATGTGGCAAACACTCTATGACTGATCTAGTTCCCCAACCCATTTGTCTGATTTTTGTTCTTTAAGGTTGTCTTGGGCCTTTCACAGTTACTACTTCAAATCTTCCCTCTTTCACATTGCCCAGATTTCATCCTGATTCTCCCCACTTCCATGTTCTTTTGCATTAGGGAGATACAGAGCAACGTGAGTTTCTACCATAGATTTTTGTGTGTATTTATATATGGTCCCTCGCTTTTGTTGCCATTTTTTCCTTCACTGGGGGTCTGGTTTCATCATTCTCCCACTCCCTTTGGATCTTATGTTGCTTAGGATTTTCCTAAACTAAACAGTGACCTCATTTTTCCTGGACTCTGGCTCCTGCATTTTTCACTACCTTTTCTTACCATACTTCAAAAGATAGCTTGCCCTGCCATAGGCTCTTCACTTCCTATGATGTGCTGTGACTGAATAGTTCTCGCCTGGAAGAGTGTCATCAGGATGTTTTTGAAAGGTGTGGTTAAGTAGAAAACTACCCAAGTCCTTTTAAAGACCTTCTGAATTAATTTCCCAAGCTTTTCAAATTAGTATACCCTGAAGTCTTTCTTTTCTTCCTTTCTAATTTTTTTTTGTTTGGTTTTTTTGGTTTGTTTTTTTCAAGACAGGGTTTCTCTGTATAGTCCTGGGTGTACTGGAAATTACTCTGTAGACCAGGCTGGCCTTGAACTCACAGAGCCACCTGCCTCTGCCTCCCGAATGCTGGGATTATAGGTGAGTGCCACCACTGCCCAGCTCCTGAAGTGTTTCTTACTAGGCTTCTACCTGGCGATTTTGATCAGAAGTTCTGAGTGACTAGACATTACTATTGGTAAGAAAGAGCTCCAGGCACTGACAACTTTCTTTCCCTGTGCCTTCTGTCAGCTCAATAGGAAGTGGGTCCATCAAGTGATAGAGACGTGTCCTTGGACAGCTGCCATGGCTGTACTCCTCCTCAGACTTAGAGTTATCAGTGATCAGTCACCAGAGTGCTTTAAAATCAACTTACTGGGGCTTAAGACTTAGCTCGTTTGATAAACCACTTGCTGAGTTTGAGCCCCAGAACCCATTTAAGAAAGCTGAGCATGGGGATGCTTGTTTGTTATCTAGTGCTGAGGAGGTGGAGATAGGAGAGTCCTTGGGGCTCTCTGAGCCAGCCTAGCCTAATTGGCAAGCCTCAGGCTATGGAGAGACCCTGCCTCAAAAATCATGGTGCACAGACAGTCAGTCGGTCCTGAGGAATGACACCAGAAGTTGTCCTCCGACTTCCACATACACTTGAACATACATGCATGCAATATACAAACACACAAAAATTAAGGTCTTTATATTTAAAACATGCAAAACTAAATACTTAGGAGCCTTCTTCATTAGTTGTTAATAATGATGGACTCTTTATCTGTTTTACTGTTTAACACTACTCATTTATCATTTTTTCTTTAAGCTATGATTTTGGCAGAAAGTGTTCTTCTCTTACTCATGCTCCTGTATAGGCTGCTTCAGGATTTTATTCCTGTAGTCCACTTTAGGCTGTCCCATGTGGGACGCTAATTCACTGTCGGCTTAATGCAAGTCATCTATTAATGTAAATATTTCACTTGAGCACTCTATTTGAGCTGAAAATTTATAGGTGCCTATTAAACATTCAGACCTCAGCTTCTAGTTGTGTGCGGCATACCCACCCACTTCCGTCTCCCCATCCTAATGCACCTCTTCTGTTAATGTCCCACATCTGTCTGATCCATCTTACAAGGTAGCACCAGCCCTAGTAGATTCTGCTTAATAAGCTTCACTGCCTCTTCATTTCCCTTATTCTATAGTCTTCCAGTATGACCAGTTTATAGGAGACCTAACCCAAATAATCACTAAGATAAAATTGTAGGGCTGAGGAGGTGGCGCAGTCAGATAGAGGTATTTGCCATCAAGCCTGATGATCAGCATTCAATCCTTGAACTCTGAAAGGAGAAATCCTATTGCTGCTGGTTGTCTGGCCTCCACGTACATGTTTGTGTACACACACACCCCAGGAGATAAAAGTAATAAAAACGATAAAATTGTACCCGTGAATGTTTGTCAAATAAATGTTTGTCTAGTTTTTAGAAGTGTAAATATGTAAAGCATGATACCTAGTGGACAAATCGAGATACTTGGTTCTTACTGAGTTCTGAAGAGACCTCAGAGAGAAGCACATTGAGTAGGTGTATTTGAGCAGATCGTCTGCATCAGCTGCTGTTTGTATTACAACACACAGTTCTGCTTCGATGGTATGATTTTAGGAATTACAGTTCAAAATTTTGACTTTTTGAGTGCTCTAATTTATGGTATGTAAAATAACTAATAAATTATATACTCACATTGGGATGAAGTAGATACTTAAAAGTACATAATATGCTTCTCATAAAGTAAAAAGAACTTCAAATACTATTTTTTTCATGACATAGCAAGTATCACTGGTAGAAAAACAAATGTGTTGACTGTAAGTGCCACTTTCTCTCGTTTAGGGAGAGAATCCTTTTGAAATTCAAGATCATTCTCAGGATCAGCAGATAGAAGGGGATGAAGAGGACGAAGAGAAGATTGATGAACCCGTTGAAGAGGACGACGAGGAAGAGGAGGAGGGGGAGGAGGATGAAGAAGTAGAGGAAGTGGGGGAAACAGAAGAGGTGGAAGAAGAGGAGGAAGGAGGGGAAGCTGGAGTAGTGGAGGGAGAAGGAGATCTAGAGGGAGGGGAGAGAACAGCAGAATCAGGGGATGAGAACGTGGGAGAAGCAGAGAATGAGGAGGGGGAGGGGGAAGGGAAGGAGGAGTCTGCCACCTGTCCTGCTGAGCAGTGTGAGCAGAGTCAGGTGTAGTGTGTTAGACCTGAGTGGAGCTTTACACCTGTCCTACTGTAGAAAAGAGAAGACATTTAATAGATTATGATATTAATTGATACCATGTTGCATGCATTCCACCTATAAAATTTTTTTTGTATGATTTCTAAACGTTTGGCACTTGTTTAATAAAATGAAGTTAAGATGATTTCAGTTTAGTTTTTATAGATACCAAACTTAGATATGATAAATTGTTTGTATGATTTTTAAGCTTAATTCTTATTACTGTATTGGTGTTCAGGATAATAGATGTGTGTTGTTGCTCTATCTGTTGTAATCAATTTAACTTAAATGCTGCTCTTGGGAGTGAACCTTTAAGTGTGCATTCAGTTTTTGATTCTTACTCTAGAAGAGATGGATTGGGCAAGTATTTTGTCCTGATTGTGGGTTTTTTGTTCTCTTTTGTTTTTGTTTTTACATTGAATAACAGCATTAAGATGGCTTAACAGCTTTTGTGTACAGTTACCTTTGTAGCAATAAAATGTTTTCTTTTTTTTAAACCAAAACTTTCTCTTTTGATTGCAGATTAAACATTTCATCAGTTAAATAAGTATTTAAAAATCAATATCTGCCTTAATGTATGAGTTTAGCTCACAAGTATTTTAAGTGATTGAGAAGACTTGAAACATTTTTCCTCAATCATATTTTTAAAAAGTGTGACTACTGTATGTTTTCTAACACATCTCAGAGGTCAGTCTGTAACTGATCGTGTTTATACTAGCTTCAGTTCGTTCTTTTCTCTGTGCCTATGTCAAACCTTGGAATCTTCCTGAAAATACAATTTAATACAAATAATGTGTGCTCTTTTGTCGTGTCTGTTTTACCTGGAGAACCAAGAGACGAGCTTTCTGTTTTTTAAAAAATAATGAATTGTTTCTCCTTTACTCTGTCAAGTTCTTTCCTTTAAAAACAAAATGAGCTGTAGCCACATGTTCATCAAGAGTCCAGGACACTAGCCTGCTTAAGTTACTGTCTTCAGAGATGGCATTCTGTACAACTGAGAAGGCATGGTCCTAGTGATCAAGAGCTGTACTCTTAAGTTAATGATACAGGTTGGTTTTTGGGTTTGGGAAACTTGGGTGAAATTTATTCATTTATTTTACATCCTGGCTGCAGTTTCCCCTCCCTCCTCTCTTCCCACTCCTACCTCCATCCCCTTCCCCAAATCCACTCCTCTGCTTCTGTTCAGAAAGGGGCAGGCCTCCCATGGGTATCAATAAAGCATATCAAGTTGTGGGGCTAAGCTCCTCCCATTGTATCGAATCTGGGCATGGCAGCCTAGTATGAGGAACAGAACCTAAAAACCAGCCCTGCTCCCACTGCTAGGAGTCCCACAGTTTCATAACAGGTGACGCTAGTTAATGAAGTTAACTTCTCAAAAGTTTGAGGCATCAAATGGCCAACTAACATAAAACACTAAGTTGATGAATGTCTGAGCACCTGTAGACATGTGTGAGTATTACATTCCTGTGCACATCCACAGCTCCCACATACATGTGGGATGCTCTCATGCCTCGCCTTGTTTCCCTGAGACAGGATCTCACTGAAGCTGGGGCTAGGGTGGTAGTCAGTAAGCCCCAGAGATTCTCCTGTCTCTGTCCCTCACAGTGTTGGAGTTACAGCCTGTGTGTACCCACACCTGGATGTTTATGTTCTAGAAATTTGAACTCAGGTTTTATGCTTGTGTAGTAAGCACTCATAGCTCCTAAGCCACATCCCAGCCAAAATTAAGCTTTTGAAAATAAATTTTCTAGGACTAGGGAAATGGCACAGTGTGTAAACCGTTGGCTAAGAATGAGGACCAGAGTTGGTTCCTAGCAGCTGTGTGAACAGTTGCTGTGTGGGTCAGCCTCCTATAATTAATCCAGCACTCTAAAAAAAGTGCCGATGAGATCCTAGGAACTAACCTGGTGAGCCTAGACTAGCTGTGTGGACAAGTGAGAGACCCCGCTCCAAAGAATAAGATGAGCGTGATGGGGTGACTGATGGTAGCCTCGGGCCTCCACAGGAGCCAGCCCTCACCCTCCATGTGCCCACACACACACACACGTCCCATTTTTAGTACTTGAATGCCCCAACCTGAAGCTGAAGAAGCCGCCCTGCGTGTGCATGCCGTCGGCCATGATGGTGTACACCCTGGTGGTGGTGTCTTACTTCCTCATTACCGGAGGAATAATCTGTGATGTTATTGCTGAACCTCCAAGTGTTGGCTCAAGGACTGATAACCGTGGACATCAGAGACTAGTAGCTTTCTTGGCTTGCAGAGTAAACGGATAGTATATTATGAAAGGACTTGCATCTAGCTTCCTGTTCACAATGGGAGGTTTAGGTTTCATAATTCTGGACCGTTCCAATGCTCCAAATATTCTAAAACTCAATAGGTTTCTTCTTCTCTTCATTGGCTTTTGTGTCCTGCTGAGTTTCTTCATGGCTAGAGTATTCATGAGAATGAAATTGCAGGGCAACCTGATGGGTCAGTGCCTTTTGAGAAGAAACAGTGAATCCTGGGTTGGCTCCTGTTAGTGAAACTTTGAAGGCTAAGCCACTCCCTTGTGTGGCCTGGAGAAGGGTGAAGACAGAGTTGGAGCCATGCTGAGCATACGAAGGCTAGGACAGAGACAAGTTCATTACAGTATTTTTCTGGTGACCTATTCTGTACCAACTATGTTAAGTGGCATTGTCTTCTTAGTTTTTTATTTCCTAAAGAAAATACTCTTTCTAAAATGTTGGTATTGAATAAAGTGATTAATTTTTACAACCCCCCTGTTATTTTTCGGACATGGTATTTCTGATTTTCAGAAATTAATACAAATCGAGAAGTATATGGTGAGAGCCGAGATTCTTGGACAACTGGACAGTTCCTCCAGCGGTGCTTTTCCTTTAAACGGTGTGTGTGGCACTCTGCCATTTCAGACACACACGGGAGACTGTTTCCTGGACAATATGATGTATGAAAGGAGCAGAAATAAATGATTTTTCTAATTAAAAAATGATTGTTTATATGTCAGTTTGTTTCAAGTATTTTAATCAATTTATGTTCCAGTTGTTCTAATATAGGCTATGGGTAAAAGTTAAAAATAACAGTGGCTTATGGAAGGTTGAAGTGTCTTGCTTTTCTTGAAGGGGACTTGCTGTGGGTTGCCAGCACCCACAATGTGGCTTACAACTGTCTAACTCCAGTTTCAAGGGATCGATCCATCACCCTCTTCTGGCCTCTGGCACCAAGCACACGAGTGGTGGCAAATAAACACGTGAACATTGGTCTTAAATCTGAACAGCTGACGCTGGGCCTCTGAGCACGTCACCATGTCACAGGCAGCCCCCTCGAGCCTAGCTACCCAGGGAAGAAGGAGGGAAGGCAGGAGGCTGCTCGGTTCTGCCTCACAGCAGCCCTGGAACTGCTCTGTTTCAGTCCTACTGATTAAAGCAGCCCTGGGAACTTCCAATTAGCTTCCAGGAAGGGTGGGGTTCCGGATGGAAAGCTGGGGGTTCTGTTGTGTAATCCGGAAGTGATTTCACCCAATCTAGCTTAGGGAACCAGTGAGTTTGTTGGGGTCACTTAACAGAGCGTAACTCAAAGGCAGCTGCCTCACCAGAAAGTGCACCCCAGCATGGTGGCCACTCAAGAAATTTGCATCCCTGGAGTTTCCTGCAGAGAACCTCTTGGCTCCTTGGTACAGCATATCTGCCCATAAACTGCTTGTCACATAACCCCGGGGAGAGACTTTGTGAATCGTGTAAGATTCTGAGCTCCCTACATTTGCTGAGTTTTAAGGCCTTCTCTGTAGGAAGGGATGCTTCGATTCGGAGGCCGTGGCTGGCTGCACAAGAGGTTCTGTCGGAAGGACACACAGCAACGCCATTAGGTCAATGCAGTTGCAGCTGGCTCAGGAATCCTTGTGTAAAGGCAGCTTACAAAGCAGTGAGGACAAGGAGCTTCTATTTCATAGAAAACAGTGCAGCAAGAACTTCCAGAGATGCACATGAGTGGTATGTTAGAGTCATTGGGGAAAACAGCAGGTACAGGAGCTAAAGACATTGCACACAGTGCACAGAAATTTCAAGTGGGATGGAGGGGCACACAACAGTGCTCAAAGTCACTTCTGGTTTCGGAACAGAGAATTTTCTAAGCAAGATCCACACCCCAGAAGTCCTAAGGAAAAAGTGACGGATTTGGTATGTTAAAGTTAGTCAGAAGCTAAACAGCATGGTCTACAGCTGTAAATGTAGCGTTTGGGGGCTGGGGCAGGAGTGTCAAGGGCCTAGCTTGTGAGTTTGAGTTTAGCCTAAGGGTGGCAGGGATGGGTGCTGGAGGGCGAAAGATAGCGTAAGGAAACGGAAGAGTAACGGAAGGAATGTTTAGAAATGCAGGTGAGCCACAAGAGCTTATTAAATCATTGACTCCAGTTATATCAGAGATCGGCAATGGCCTCTGTTGGTGAAGAAGTGTCCTTTCCCAGATGCAGTGGGCAGTTTGGATTTAGCTGTGTCTGTAAAGAGGATACAATTGCTGAAATTCTAAGGTCTGAAGACCTGGGAATGAGGGTAACTGTTAGCTTCCAATTGAAAAGGTACGGGAGCTGTACTGAAGCAGATGCTTTTTTGTTCTGACAGGAAGATGGTGCAACGCTTTTCATAAAAGAAATTCGCCCCGTCATCTGTGGCAGGATGCCCTCCAGCACCAGAAATGATCAAATGGGGCGGGGGGCAGGCACTGGTTTAGGAATTGCTGAAATCTCTGAGGCTGGTCTTCACAGGGCTCCCGGCTGAAATCTCTGAGGCTGGTCTTCACAGGGCTCCCGGTAGTGACAGGAAGCTGGAAATAACCTCATCAGTGAGAACAACGGCTAAGTGATGGGACAAGCATGCTCCAGCCACTGGAAAGAAGCGGGCTGCATATGCTGACCTGGGAGAGAAAAAGCCAGCGGCACTGTATACCAGAATCCCATTTGGGAAACTCTATACATGTATAAATACATAAAATCCAAGCTGTTTGCATAACAGCCTGAAAAGATAGTTTATTCATAGGAAAAATGTCTGAGCGGGTGAACAAATGGTGCTCGACTCTGATGAGGGAGCTTACATCTGGATGGGGAGTTTTTCTCCAAACCTGCTGTTCCTGGTTTTGTTTTGAATGGATAGAATAGT